TTTAAAACATCTGCCCCATCCAGTAGAGAAGATCCAGGACTGAAGGACAGCTAGTCCTCCATCAGACCAGAATGGGACAACATTCAAACCTCCAACAGCTGGTCTCCTCAGATCCTCCAAGACCTCCAATAGCTGGTCTCCTCAGATCCTCCAAGACCTCCAATAGCTGGTCTCCTTAGGTCCTGGTCCTCCACAGCCTGATGTTAGAAGAGGTGACATGGAGCCGAAACAACTATAAACAGACGTTTTGCTCACATTAAATATATATTTTTAATGTTTCAGAACTTGATTGTTATGTTCTGTTGTGAATCAAACTTGTGCGCGTGAGTTTTGCACGTCGAGGCGTTGTGTTTTCAGTTTACACAGCGCAGCAACTCGTGGTCCAACACTTTGACGCCCTCAACAAATGTCAGGACGTCTCGGACTTTAAAACAAACTGGTGACGTTTCAGACACGTTCAGTCATTTCAAACTAATGTTTTTGAAGAGTCCTCTGTTTTTCCATGTTTTCATTATAATTTACTGTTTCCTGTTCTTCATCAGTTCGTCGTTTGAGTTTATTGCTGCCAGTTTTCTTTACCCTGTATAAGTTGTGTTTAATTCTCGTTGCACCGTTGGTATCGTGCCGCCTGCAGTTTTGGCGCCGACAGCTGGACTGAGGTGAAAACTTCCTCAGTCCGACTAAATAAATGTAAAATCTTTATTCTGTGGGAACTGGGGCACTGCATCCTCACTGCTACAGATTAGAGGCTTCATTCAGGCAGTTATCAGCCTGCAGCGGTGATGATGGGGGGGGGGGGGGTCAATGCTGAGTGACAGACGGACTTTATGGCTTTTGAAACGATATACTACCGTCCAGGCTTTGCATTTTGCAAAATGAGAGCTTATCAAAGCCACTCGAAGCAGATCCACTTATAAGAACTGTAAAATATTTCTTTTTGTGGATGCTAAACCCAAACTTTGCTGGTTCAGCTCATTTCAGATTCAGTTTAAGCAGCGTCCTGTCCAGGAAGATTCTGAATCGTTATGTTTAGGAAAGGATTTATTTACAGTGGTGCTTGAAAGTTTGGGATAGAGTTTTCTATAATCACACCAGATACTGGAAGCAAAGGATCACATATTTTTACCACTCACAAATCTGTAATATTGGATCATTTTCCTCAATTAAAAAAAAAAACGACCAAATAAAATATTTTTGTCTCATTTGTTTAACTGGGTTCTCTTTATCTGCTTTTAGGACTTGTGTGAAAATCTGATGTTTTAGGTCATTTTGATGCAGAAATGGAGAAAATGATAAAGGCTTCACAAACATTCAAGTACCACTGTAGTTAGTTTAGCAGGTGTGTCAGCGTCTTAAAACTCTGGTGTAAAGCTGAAAAACAAGACAAATTATCATGATGATGTCACAGTTGGAGCTGGATGGAGGTCAATTATAGGAATATATTAATTATCACCTCAGACGGCAAAAGGGGCAATATTTTTTTTTTACTTGTGTCTTTGTGTGTTGATCTGTTTGTACTTTCAGAAAAATATCTCTCGAATGAAAACAGATTTTATTTAAATTTTCAAACAGTAATAATTGGCAGAATGTCCACAAGTGACTGGACAGAACTGGATCGACTGGACTTAGATTAAGATGGCCGCCGCCACAGAAGAGCAGTCTTAACCAAGACATAAATGTCTTTTTTAAGTCTGTTTTTACACAAGTTGACCTAAACTGGGTGTAAGACTCTGAGCATCTTATTTTTACTTTAACTGCCCTGTCTGTTAGCAAAATCCCTCAAACTACTGGACATATTTATGCTGATAGTGGTGGTCTCTTTGTGACCATTTTGCCAATGTTCTCTGTCCATCCATCGTCTTGTTCTGTATTCAGCCGGACATGTCCAGAGCACCTCCCTAGGGAGGCGTCCAGGGTCCATCCTTACCAGTTCAGGACCTCGGGTGAGGGTAGGAACGCAGACCCAGTTGTAAACTGAGAGCTTCTCCTTGCAGCTCAGCTCCCTCTTCACCACAACGGACTGGCACAGTCTCCACAATACTGCACCAGTCCGTCTGTAGCTCCATTCTTCTCTCACTGAGAACAAAACCCAGAGATACTTGACCTCCTCCACTTGAGGCAGAACCTCAGTCCCAGCGTTTTGTTTTTACATTAATTTTATATTTTATTAGTTTATTTGCCGCAGTGGGAGGAGCTTACAGAGTTCTCTTCAGCTGTTTCTTTTTCAGTATAAAATGTCCGCGTGAAAAACGTCTTACCAGAACCGATGTCTTGCATCTCATGAAGTGTGCTGCAAGCTCTATTCTTTGTCTGAAACTCTGGCAGGAAAGGTGGCGGGTGATAGGCATTACTTTAAGGATTGCTAGGCCTAATCGGTTTACATAAATGTGATTTATGAAGCTAATATTTAGAAGAACATGTCATCAATCATTCATATGGAAACGATGTGCCAGCTGTCAGGTCAGATTCCAGCTTAGATCTGTTTTAAAGAATTAAAATGTAAATTTCTGTTTTCATTCATGTCTTCTGTCTCTGATGTCTTTCTGTCTTATTGTCCCAGTTGAGGCGCTGCGCTTTTCTTCGCCAAATTTCTCTCGTTTTCCAATTAAGTGTCTTTCACCGTGGCCCCGCCTGGCCCCTCAGAGAATACTGTAAGCTTTTCATCGTTGCCCCGTGTTGCCTCAGTCGAGCAGGCCGGGATGAAAGCTTTAACCCCCCCACCATGAGAGAGTCAGCGTGCACTTTCAGACCCCCACTCTCACCCAGCTTTTACATTGTTATTGAAATAGGAGATGGCTGTCGCTCTCTCTCTCTGCTCCGACTTCCACCATGATCACAGCTTGGCAGGAAAGTGTCTCCTTCTGCTTTCATTCAAAAATAAATGTTTTATTTTATAAATTAATAATTCTTTTCAGAGCCCAAGTAAAATTTATGAATAACTAGGGTTTAAAGGATGGACATAGCAAAAAACAGAACCGTGCTGAAGCCACAAAAGTCGAGCGCCCCTGATGACTGCCTCCAGAGCAATCTTTAGGCCCCGCCTCCACCTTGTGAGCAGATGGGTTAATGATCTGAATCCTCGCACTGAACCATGAACCATAGGTTTGAGGTCTCACTTGACCCGGATCCTACGTGTCCTCAGTCAGACTGCCAACAAGTCCACGAGTTAGTGGACCTGCTGTAAAAAAAAAAAGCGGAGTCACCAGAAACGCTTCAGACTCAGATGAGTCGGGTCACTGATCCGGGTTTATAACTCACAGAAAAAAACACATTTGTTTGTTTCTATTTGTTGTTAGGTGACATTTTGGTTAACATATTTGATTTACACATTTTATGATTTTATTTCATTCTTTTATTCCATATTTACAGATGGTTCGTTTATTCGTGTGTGAAATTGTAAAATTAATTTCTCAGATGGAAATGAATGGAGTTTATTAACATCCACCACATTTCGTTCTTTCTTTCTTTTTGAGAGGGGGAGGAGCGTGACTGCTTCAAGTGACTCAAGTGAACCAGAGTGAGTGACTCAGATTAACTCGGGTCCATAATTCGACCCGGAACGATCAGCTCCAACTTCCTGACATGAAAATTCTCTCCAGATTATTTGTTTCAGCTCTAGATCTTTGCTTGTGTTGTGAGTTCCTTCCTTGCTGCTGGATGATTATTTCTGCATTTAAAAAAAGTTTGATCCTTAAAGAAGGAGTCATGTTGTGCTGTGATTGACAGCTGGTTAGCGAGTTGGGAGGGGCTGTGGGCGGGACTCTGGAGGGCACCGCCCCACATCCTGAGTGTGCAGACTCTGGTTCCAAAAATACAACAGGGTGGCTTCAATTTGAAACAGTGGGAGATAATGCAGTCTACTTTGTTCATGTCGTTAAGTAAAAGCTCGTCCAGGGATATGAGAGCTTTTAGATCCAACTTTAGCAGAAATAAATAAATTATGTTTAATGTAATCTGAGTTCTCTACATTGTGCTGCTTCTTTCTTTGCTTTAGTTATTTAAGGTTTGGAGACCCATCAGGGAGCTTCAGAGTAACCCTTCAAAATGTTTGTTTCGTTCAGTTTATTGTCCCATTCCATTGAACATTAGAGCTTCAAACCATCATCCCTCCACCACCGTGCTTTACAATCAGAGGTGTTTGTGTTTAGATCTTGGTTTGTGTGGTGCTGTGTGCTCGAGACAAACATCTCCACTTTGATCTAATTGGTCTGCAGAACATTCTTACCATCCGCCGCCTTGAAAGATCATATTTGTCTGTATGTTAGCAAAATATCTCATGACCCAGGGTATGGATTTTAATGAAACTTTCTAAAATTGACCAATGGATGAACAGTTTTGAGTCAAGATGGCCACCACTGCTAATCAGAAGTAGCAAGCATAAAAACTTCAGTCGGTTTTACATAACTTGAGCTAAAACTTGGTGTGGTAGTAGCTGAGAGTCATCCTCAGCACAGACTCAGAGGGAACGTTCATTGTTTCGAACTTGGTCATGCATGGCGGCAGGCGACATGCATTCCTTCAAGGAATGGCAGCTTTTTAAATTTTATTTTGGAAATCTTCAGATTTTTCAGTTTTGCAGATCCATCATTTCATAAAGTGTTGTTTTTTTTTATTGTTTTTAGCTAATTTTATAGAACTTTTCTTACATTTTATTGTTTTGTGTTTTTTTCTATTGATTGATGTTTTTGTTTTTTTGTTTTTAATAACTTATTAAGAAATATCATCATATCTTTTGTTTTTAAACATGCTAATGAAATAAAATTGACATTTTAAGAAGTTTTATTCTTTTGTTTTCACTAACTAAAAACTATTAATCCCTAAAATCTTAGTAAGATTTTACAATTAATTACATTTTCTGAAATGTAACGTTTCAATAATTTTGTTTGAGATAAATAAATAATAAAACTAAATATTAGTCATTAGATGCTTCTGTGTCGTTCCATCAGATGAAACTGAATTTATAAAAATGTTGTTTTCTTTCCTTCTTCCTGTTTTCCCAGTCACCCTTCCTGGTGCGCTCCTTGCCCCAGTTTTTTCCACCTCTGCAGCCCGTCACTCCTCCTTCACCTCCTCCTCTTCCTCCATGCAGACCTCATACCGCCTGCCCAACCCCCTGCCCCCCCTCCCTGTCCGCAAGGGCGTCCGAGGCCGGCGTCCTAAATCTCAGACCCTCGCTCTGCTGAAAGCGGCAGCGGAGGCAGCCGTAAACGGAGCTTCGCAGAGTCTGACCCCTGACCCCCAGCTGACCCCGAAACCACACAAGAAGCGAGGCCCGAAGCCCAAAGGCAAGGTGAGGCGTCCCAGGAGGAGCATCTGTCTTCAGGTCAGCAGTTTTAACTTGCTCCCAGAGATTTCATGAGAAAATGTTTGTTTGTGTTTCTGCTCAGCCCCAGGTAGAGCAGTGTTTGGGGGTGTCACCGGTCCCAGCGACCCCTCCAGAGACCAGACTGAGCACAGGCCATGTCTCGATGGACACCAACCTCAGCAACAGTTCAAATGTCATTTGCACAGGTGAAAGTTCCATAAAGAACTTCAAATCGTGACTCATCTGACCACAGAACAGTCTTCCATTTTGCCACACTCCATTTTAAATGACCCCTGGCCCAGTGCAAACGTTTTAGCTTGTGGAGCTTGCTTAGAAATGGCTTCCTCTTTGCACTGTAGAGTTTCAGCTGGCAACGGCGGATGGCACGGTGGATTGTGTTCACTGACAATGCTTTCTGGAAGTATTCCTGAGCCCATTCTGTTATTTCCTTGACAGTGGCATTCCTGTTTGAGGTGCAGTGACGTTTAAGGGCCCTGAGATCACGAGCATCCAGTAGAGTTGCCTTGACCCTTACGCACAGCGATTGTTCCAGATTCTCTGAATCTTTTGATGATGTTATGCACGGTTGATGATGATAACATAAAAGTCTTTGCTATTTTACGCTGGGTAACACCATTCTGGTATTGCTGCACTATCTTTCTGCACAACAGTGGTAGAATTGGTGATCCTCTTACCATCTTGGCTTCTGAGAGACACTGACACTCTTAGAAGCTCTTTTTATACCCAATCATGTTGTCAATTGACCTAATTAGTGTTAACTGGTCTTCCTGCTGTTCGTTATATGCTTAATTTCCTTTTTCCAGCTACTTATTGCTGCTTGTCCCAACTTTTTTGGGATTTGTTGATACTGTGAAATTTTGAATCAACATATTTTTCTTTAAAAATGTTACATTTAATCAGATTAAACTTTTGATCTGTCATCTATGTTATATTACGAATAAAATATTGACATTTCCCATCTCCACATCATTGCATTCCGTTTTTATTCACAATTTGTTTAGTGTCCCAACTTTTTTGGAATCCGGTTTGTAATTCAACTCAACAAACTATGCTAAATACATCAGTTTTGTGGTGTTTTAATATTCTAATTTACTTTATCAATTTAAGCATAAACTGACTTCGTATCCTGTGCACTAAATAAAGAGTTAGAACATTAAATTTACATAAGAGTGTCCTTTTAATAAAACTTTACATTTTCTGCCATTTTTCTTCTCAGTGTGCGTTTATGTCAACAAGCACGGTAAATACGGTCCACGTCTCGATGGAAAGCTGGTGCAGCAGCTGCCCGACCACTTCGGTCCGGCTCCAGTCAACACGGTGCTTCAACAAGCAGTCCAGGCCTGCGTGGACTGCACCTACCAGCCCTCAGTGTTGCTGGGCTTCCTGCAGAGCCAATCCCATTCAAGAGGAGAGGTCATCAGAGGTAAAACTCCACAGAACCAAGAGTTTGTCATGTTTGTCTGACAGAGGGAAACAAAAACTGACCTCAGAGTTTTTTAGAGGTTTAGACGGATAACTGAAACTCAGCACTGTTGAGCAAACTAAAGGTTTAGGATGAAAGTCTGACAAAACTCAACAGGTGTGGGTTATCATCAGGTGTTGGTCATTATAACATTCAGATGTTGATTATCAAAATGTTCAGGTATTGATTATAATAACATCCCAGTGTTGACTGTATTTATATTCATGTGCTGGTTATCAGAACATTCATGTGTTGGTTGTCATAAATTTTGGGTGTTGGTTATCAGAACTTCATGTGTTGGTTGTCATAACGTTCAGGTGTTGGTTATCAGAATGTTCATGTGTTTGTTGTCATAACGTGTGG